CGCTACCTGTAGGCCCGTTCAGTGACCGCCACCTTTGATATCTTGAGGCATTATTGTCAGATTGATCAGAGAATCATTGAGAACATGTCGGGCATGGATGATCCCGAGAACGGGATGCTCCTAGCTGCTAGTTGCCATCTCGCATTCGATGCGTTCAAGTGGTGCTTGATTCCCACTGAGGTCTGTGCCGCATGAGATCAAGAGCTGATGCACGATCTCACAATCATATACTCTGCTCGTAGACAGACAACCACTACAAGATCAGGATATATGTCCCCAGTGATATGGGCGCACAGACGAAGAAGACTCACACCACGTTCAAAGACCACAGCCCTGAGTGGCCGATGGACAACCCCGAAGACAGTTCGTCGCGTAACCTTCGTAGTGGGAAGCGCACCCACGACAAATTGGGTGTCGCACTCCCTAATCCCCAGCTCCTGCGGTTGCATGCTGCACTAACAGGTGTCTTACGCCTCAGCGGCGCTGCTGAGATCTTCGATCGAATTATCTCGTCCGACGGTTCCGATGAACCCGCTGTACCGAGTGCTGATGGCACAACTTTCTACAAGTCTATCGTAGTTGATAGCAGTGCGTACGGGCAGTCTGCGGAGATGGTCGAGTAATGTATGTATGTGTATGAGGTTGAGGAACGTCGCAACACCGATGGGTTCTTCGGGCGCTATCCGAGCTATACACGTTTGGACTTATGTAGTGGAACGAAGATACTTCCAGTGGTCAAGTCCCGGCGGAGAGTCTTACGCCGCAGGCGTGTCCCAATTCTCTATCGTCAACCCAACAAACTCGGGCAGCTTGCGCCATATTTGCCGGCGAAACTCCCGATCGCGCGTCTGCAAGTGATTCCGGCAGCCTTTACATAGCGCGCGGGAGGGCGACGAGAACGACAGCATGTACGGACCCATTGGGGTAGGCTGCACCGCACTCGCCGGGATGCTGTCCGCATTCTCGACCCAGCTGTCCAGCGCACGCGACGACGCGACGGGGTGCGGCGCCTTCGACAAGCCGGAGTACTCGAGGAGCTTCCGCCACAATTCCGCACAGTACGAGTGCCCGGACGGGTTCGAGCAGTTCTGCGCCCCCGCCGGGCGGAAGAGGAGGAACGCGGTATGTGCGTTCTCAGTGGCGAGCCGCTCCTTCATCTGGAGGCACAACACCATGTCCTCCGGAGACAGTCGCTCGACAGAGCCGTCTTCCCGTTTCATTCCGCGCGCGAGGTCCGGGCCGAGCGTCGCGCAGATGTAGAAGGCGGAAGGGAGGATGGCGGTGGTATTAGTGAGGCGCGCCAGGTTGACGGCGCCGATCGCGTCGATGGGCTTTGGTTGCCAGTCAGTGGCGTTGCGGCCGTCGGCCCAGGCATCGAAGTTAGTGGTGTAGTAGGTGGTGAGGTAGCTCATCGCCTGCTCGTACATGCCCCTTAGCTCATACTTGTGGTCGAGACGGATGATAGCTGAGATGAAGGTGATGTCGACGTTCCGCCCAACCAGCCTAGCCCCACGTTCAGATCAGCGCAAGGAAGAAGCAAAGTAATATGGAGAATAGGTCACCTGAGAGTAGATTTCAGTGGATATATGAGCCGGAATAGCTCGCGTAAGTCGTTCGGCGAGTCGTAGAGTGTAACCACAGGACAACCATCGACCAGTTCTTCTGTCGCTGGCGTTGCGACTTGAAACATGCTGCGGAACACAGACGAGTGTTCCGCAAGTAGGCCCTTGTATATGCAAAATGCGAACCCTTGAGACAGAAGGATGAGGTTCCCGTCATCGAACCAATACTCGCTGTCGCGCGCTGCAGCTTGGACTTTGTCAAAGGCGGTCGTGGGCACGGGATGGGCACTGTCATCGTTGATCCGAAAACGTTTCCTGGTCGGTTCTTCCATGATTCACGTCGCAGGTTGTGGTGTCTGTGAAGGTAGAGTGTTGTAGACGGCTACAAAGAAGAGGCAAAGAAAGGGGTTTACGGGCGATCGAGACTTAAGTATACAGTACTGCAGCTGCTGCGGCAAGGGTCACCGAGTGGGAGGGAGGCGCGTGTGTGGCTGTGCTGTTGCGTCTCCCGATGTTGTCTTTTTCCCAAATCAGCTACGGCGCAGCCCGCGGGTTAGGGTCCAGCCTTGCGGTAGTCTATACAGCATTAATGTCATGTGCGGGCCATGGCGTACCCAGGGAGGCCAGAATACGAGTCAGCCATCTCACTGATTTCCCCAATGGAGGACACGACGGTCATCTCTGCCGCTGAAGTAGCCGAGAGCTGTGAAAGTGCTACCAGAATTGTACACAGTGGCCAAAAATCGCCAACACGAAACAGCTGCGGCTCTTTCAGCATGCTAGTGGCACTATACATGATTTACAATGATTCTCGCACAAGATACGAGTCATCCAACGGGGCCTGTACTCCGTTCAGGAGGAACCTGTGATATACATCTCGTCATCATCCACGGATCGATAGGAGACTTTCGAACGACCCCTAATTGATGACGACGAGTGGGCAATACAAGGAAGTTGGTGATAAAGCATCGCCGCGAATTATATGCCGTGTCCAATGATACTAGGGGGCCACTCGTCGAACGGGACTCCAAGCGTTTTACCTGGCTCAAATGCCTGTTTGGGTTTGATGTGTTGCTGCAGCCTGAGACTTGATTACATAATCTTGCCAATTTCTGCAGCTGTTTCGACGTCTTATACATCTTCACTCGGGACTGGTCTTTATCTGTGAAGTTGACTCTCCACAGCTCGCTAGCTGTATTTTGACCCTTGCGAGAACTGTATGCTTCAGCAACGGAGTGCTATTGAGATCCATCCTAGCCCACCAATCCCGTTCGCAAGGAGTATATCGTTGCAATCTAGACGATGGCAAATCTCAAGCAGTGGGTATGCGAGGATGCACAGGGCCACTCTTGCGGCAATATGATGGTCCGGTCGATCTCAACTGTGAAACCGCGGTGTACGGTGTACGAGGAATCATTTGACACAGTAAGCACGGCTCGACCTGTTTGTGAATGTCCTGCTTTGGAGTATATTCTGGGTCAGAAGAGGTCAGCCCTTCTTCACAGAATGGACACATCGCCCAAGATACCAGACTTACGCGCATCGCTTATAGTCGTACTACCTCAGCCGCGTTGGCCCGCCCGCGTAATTTGATCCTTAACGGCCGCCTCATTGAGGTCCCGCAGGAACCCAATCGCGAGCACATTCCTTACATCGCGGTCTCTTATACCTGGGATCCTGATCCCGAGCTCGTCAAATGGGAAGGCCGTCGCGTGACGACCCAGGCGCTCGCCCTCGCCACCCGCCTGACGCGGTACACATCGTACACCATCTGGATCGACGCGATTTGCATCCATCAAGACGACCAGAAGGCAAAAGAGGAAGAGCTCCCGAAGATGGCGGATATCTATCGAGGTGCAGAGTCTGTGGTGAGTATCATATCCGGCGTCGACGACCGCACGTGCGAGGCCGTCAAACGCGGCGTGGAAATCATGGAGACAGAGGCATACAGAGACCTTGTCGACGTCGGAGACATCCATGGGTGCTTCCAGTTTGCGACGGGCGGAGGCAATCCCGCTTTCGCGGCGATGTTTCAGCACAGGTGGTGGGAACACGCGTGGACGTTCCAAGAGGCCACGCTCAACCCCCGTACTTTCCTCGTCGGAGACGCAGGACATATAGTGCCTATGGACGATATACTGAAGATAGTTCCTGCCATTCGCTTGAAGGCCGCCTCGGTTTCTGGGCCGGATGGCCTAACACTCACGTTTGGTCGCCCGTCATCCTTCTGGGACTCCGTGTCAGCGATGACCGCTGCAACTACAAGAGCGTTGACGCTTGGGGAGGCAATCGGTTGCGTCTGGCGTCGCAATGCCTCGGTACGGCACGATTTGGTGTACTCCATGGTTGGCGTCTGCGGACTGTCGAGATCGGTAGTGCCATCGTACGACAGGCCATTCAACCTCGTCGTCCGAGACCTCTTCGAAGCTGCCGTTGCAATCGGAGACCATCAGGAAAAACCGCGTTCGCTAATTAGAGATAAATTAGTGTAGTCCTTGATAATGGCTGCTAATCCACTCTTCACCGTCTCTAATGACAGGCGGCAAACGTAAGCGAGCGACGATTTGACTTACTAAGTTTCAGCGTACTTCCTTGTTCTAGAGGTCTATGTATGTTTGAAGGTGGCCAATTTGAGAGGTTGCAGGTGTTGTCCGCTTGTGTGCACTCCGGCGGATGCACGGCTACCTCTTCGAGCGCTCAGGGACTTGGACGCGGAAGGACATTTGGTTAGACGCCTGTCGTGCTTGGACGTGCAAACTCGACGGGCGTTTGAGTGCAAGTCTTGTCTCCCAGCTGCCACATCACAGTAGCTCGCTCTTACTCCTCCGTCTCTGCTCTACTCTGTCTCTGCTCTACTCCGTCTCTGTGCTACTCCTGGTATAGTCTGAGTAGGTCAAGCTTGCATGTGAACACCTCAGTGAGGTACACTGGCCTTATCTGGTAGGTTGCGTGGCGCAGCGTGTTCATATGTTCGTTATCCGGAAGGAGCAGCAGTGCAGGTAGGTGGACGCAGATTAAGGAGTGAATACTCCACAAAGCTCTAGGTGTGTTCATTCCGTTTGACCTCTCCCCGCCTGCCCCGTTGAGTCACTGTGAACTCCATGGGTGCAGCACGAACTGGGTGCTCTCCTCGTGTGCGCGTAAGTTCCTCCATCCCTTGTCGCGTACACTTCCTGTTCGTGTGTAATATCCATGATCTCCAGTGAGGACATGCAGTAGCACTAGATTAACATCATGATGCCTGTTCGGAACTATTGTTCCTTCACCACTCCTTCTCCCTACCCTCTGTTAGTATATACATTAATAGCCTATCCCGGCAGGTATATCCATATCCCAGTAGGATGCCTAGTTTGTCCCGTAGATCCGTCTCACCTAGCCATAGTTGTCGTGTCATGTTGTACTAGAGTTGTACTAGAGTATATGAACGCTCAATACAATTGCCTATCGCCATTTGTAATGTGTAATGACAATATATATATGACACTAAAATGAGTGTACGATTATTGAAATAAGAGCAGCGTAAGAGGGCATTATTGATCCATTTGCGTAGCGCGCTTATGGACATAATGGCCATCTATTCGGCCGCTCATTAGGACGGGACTAAGCTAATGAGACTAATGCCCTAATCGGCCTCATTAGGGGTAATTATCCCTCATTAGCAAGTGCAGTTTTTCCTGATGACTATTCGTGGCTAACCTGGACGGCCGTGATTGATCAGAAGGCGTGTGACGACGGTATGGGTCTAGCTCCTATCCCCGAGCTTGTTAGAGGATCCCCGTACAGCAACCTTACTTCTTGGCGCAGCGCTCGCGTTACAGCGACCGAAGCTAAACGCTACGAGGGCGCACAAGCCGGTCTGTTGCTTCCCTATCGCTCAACCGGAGTTATACGGACGCAGTCCTCCCGGGCTCCATATCCGACACCGCTGACTATCTGCGAGGACTTGGACACGCCCCGGACGAGATCTGGGATATGCTCTTCGGTCTCCAAGTGGGTCTTATGGCAGACATCTTCCGGGCTGTGAAGAACGACGGGATCGCGCAAGCTGCCCTGAACCTCGCGCTATGCATCATTAGGGGCGAAACGACCCGTGATGAGACGATCAGCGACATTGTGGGGCATCGACCATACATGCAAGGTATCGCGTTTACCAGCTATGCGGTCATGGCGGCCGATAGTTGGACTCGCGGGGGAGTCAGGCACCTTGCTGTCATGTCGTCTCAGGGAGGAACAGTCGTGATTCCTATCCATGAAGATGTGCTCAGCAGCGAAGAGATAGTTTTGGCGGACAGAATTTACCTGCTACCCGTTGATGGTAGTGGCAGAGAAGCAGTTAGCGGCAGGGATGAGAGCAGAGGGTTTGCATTCATTACTGGCTCCGTCGCAGCTCAGGGGCAATTCGAGGTTCGGGCAACGGCTATTGCGGTCAGGAAGGTGCATACGAGTAGGGGAAAGTGGCAGCTGAGGAGAATCGGTTAATGTTTCGTACATCGCCGAAATCGTGCAGTACGCTGAACATCTTCTGCCCCTGGGCTCCCTGTGAAATTCTGTATTTCTGCATCCGTTCCGGCTTGTTGAAAGGTTGAAACACCTTGACCGCGGCAGAGTGTCGATTGTACGCAACTGGCTACGTAGCCACGAATGCACGCAGTCGTGCGTTCGCTTTTGCAGTTACAACACAAGCGTGCAGTCGCGTAATCGCAGAGTCGGGTAAGCGACGCTAAGTATCCTTTTCTAAGTTCTTAGTGGCCCCTGCAACAAAGCTCTTTCCTTGCGCAACGTAGATAGACTATAATCCAAATGTTCTCTGCCATTTATCCAGTTCTCAATGCGCGCAAAACGAGTCTACTCAAGGGCTTTGCAGTATGTATAGACTTTGGCCTTGCCCTTCGCCGAACTCCTGCCGGAGGGCGCTCCAGTTACAACTTACAATTGACGCGCAGTTACACGACTGCGTAGCTACATACACACGGAGCTTGGCGAGCTTCGCTATCAGTCGACTGCGTGAATACATGGTTATGCAGCCTGCTACGTAGCCAGTTGCGTGAAATCGTAAACGTTCTCGACCGCGGCATCGTAGTACGGTTCGTACCGCTTTAAATGAGCGCCCATGACAACAGATGATGTAATCAAGGTGTGGTGATCAACGTTCGCTTTCTTCCTCCTTCCGACTCATTGCAGTCGTTCAGCTCATTGTGCCAAGAGCTCCCCGCCCTCCTCATCGACATGTCGCTCGATTACGCCCTTGAAGAAAGCTTCAATGCCGAAGTGGAACGGCTCCTGACTGACCCCGCCGTCTCTGATATGGCTTTACATAGCCAAGCCCAAGAATATCTGCAGGTCTATGACGAACCATCATTTGGAGAAATCAATGTTCCTCCGTGGGTTCGCCGCATTCAGCCGCATACGAGATTGAAGATCAAGTATACATCGAGGCGACTGTTTGATACGATGTACGAGGCAGCGACTACACTTCGAGTGCCACTTGGTGCGCGATATGTTTCTGCCGCCATTTGTGCTTGTGCTAGTCATGCCAAGAGCGCTGTGGCTTGTTCTCAAGATCAGCCGAAGAGTGTTGCAGAAGCGTTGGGTCGGCTCGCTTCGGTTTGGCTTGCCTTTGTGCTCTGGCCCCGTAAGCTCTTCGACTGCCCGCTCTTACTGTTCGTGTCCTTTAACACTTCGAGGTCCAGGTTATATCCAAGCGGTGTTGCCTGCGAAGTCATCTGGTGAAGACTCAGATTCAGGAGATACTACCCCGACAGGACGATCTGAAGATCTCTCCCGGAATACCGTGGCGTATCGTCGATGGGCTGTCTTGAGAGACGAAGTAGGTCAATTTGCTGAGCTCTATCTTCGCTCCCGCTTAGGGTGTATCAGTTGTATCAGCGTGATAGGTATAGGTGCTTCATGTCAGGAGCTGTGCTCGATCGTACTCCAGAGGAGGCCCTCTTGGGTGTATTCACGACTGCTCTACTCGTTACGCACATTATCGGAGTGCCGGCTAGAGCTAGGTTGAGACACTATGACCAGGTATGTTTTGATTTCGCCAGCGGGATATTCACACTGATGAATGATGGAAGGATATAGCTCTAGACATGTTGCAACGTTATTGCCAAGTCGACAAGGACTTACTGCGTCGCATGGCTG